GCCTGGCGCAATATGGTTCATGGGGTCACGAAGAGTCGGACACGACTTAACGACTAAACAACAACAACAACAACAAGTTTCACATCAACCTTCCCCATACAATTATTGTGCTGCTGGTCTCCATAAAGGTAATATGAGTTACTTTGGCCTATGATATCACAGCATCCATCCAGGATCCTTCTCAGAGATACAGAAAACGATGTCATCCTTAGCAAGCTCCTGTGTTGGACACCCCACCCACTGGAAACAGCAGATCTCGTGCTCTTTAAGCCCAGATAATAAAAAGGACTCTGCCCTCATATATCAACAAAAATAATGAGTTCCTAATAACAGAATTAAAGTGGGAGGAGAGGTTTCAAGAGGTCATGTTTGTTTTTCTGTAAGCCAACCAATTCATTGCCAACTTTCTGACCTTGACTTGTTCATATTAATTGGCTTCTGAGTAGCATTGGCAGAAAATGGATTCAGTTGGTTTTCAACAATTCAAGAATACCGTCAATGCTTTGAAAAATGAGGACCTTTTCCAACACCATCCAGGTGTTCACTGATCACAATCTGAAACTTTTCCAAAATAGGATTGTGTCACCTCACACGCTCCAAACCATGGTGTCTTTTGGTCTCAGAAGAATAAAATACAGACACAATATTTAAAATATAGAGAAACTGAACCTGAAACATTCAATAATGAAAAGAGAGTACCAGTTGACCTCTGCAAGCCAGACTCTATAATGGACAGAAAAATATTGGTTGGTCCTTTTGAGTGGAGACTGATTAACTCACTGCAGGTGGCTGAAGACAAACAGAGATATGATCCAAAACTGAAAGTGTTGCAGAAACAAGGAAGCTGTTCCAAGAGACAGCAGAGCTCTCTGCTGTCTTAATGTGTCTAAAGGAAGACTCCAGTCTCGCTGATAACACAAAATGGCAATTAAAAGAAAGAGGGAAATGGACGGATCATCTGTCCGTCAACTAAAGATAACTTTGTCCTTTTGATGGACCCCAGGAATCATGGGGAAGAAGTTTAAACAGAGATTTTGTTTAACAAAGAATGTTTCACAAGCTGCCTGTCTTTCCCCAGCTAAACCAGGGTGGTGAGAATCAGTTATGTATTGATAAAGGAGAAAGCAAGATATGGAAGCAATATTTATTCTTTGCTGAATAAATTCTTTTGGCTACAGTGTGATAAGGACTGCTATATTCAGTGCACTGAATATTTGAATTTACGAGATTTTATCAGATCAGGAAAGCTCTGTGTTCTTTCTCCCCACTAGCACTTTGCTGTCTCAGAAAAACTTTTCTTTGCTCTGAGACAGAAACAAAAGTGTGGATGGAAGATCTCCTGAGTGAAAGAATGCTTTTATCTCATTTGAAAGCAAGCTACAACTTGGGGTAATTTCTTCCGCAAAATATATTCAACACAAATAGTTTCCATCAATAAACAATTCACCAATTGGATAAAGCCTTCTGTCCTCCCATTCCTTGGATTGATTTTCTTTATTTCTGTATTTAAAATTTCGTAGTCAGATAATAGAAGAAAATTGGGGATAAAGGGTGCTGCCCGTTTTTAAAATTCTAAATTGAATTTTCAATATAGATTTGTGATACGATTAATTCATTACCATCAGAAAGAAACGGAATTACCTTAACAGGAGGATTGGCAACCCACAGACTAGGGCTGATGTGCAACCTCCAGTCTGTCATTGGTGGCTGTCCAGAACCCGAAATTGCATTACTGAATTTTAGTTGCATAATTTTGGTCCATGTTTAGGGACAACGTTCAGTTCCTGTTAAATTCATGGGCACATCAACATTGATTTGCTTGCTTGTTTTGGCAACAGTATTAAGTGTTTTGCTGTTCCTTTTTCTGGAATGTCCTTTCAGCTATGATGGTTGTAAGCTACCTAAAATTGCCAATTTGTTTGGAGGTGGCCTTAAATCGGATTATTTAAATTTATAGGCCATCTCCACAACAACTGGCATTTCCAGGTGGGTTAAATAACTACAAGAACCCTGAAACCAAAATCAAATATAAGAAGAACAGTATATTTATTAAAAAGTATCATTATAAAAGCTCTGGGGGATCAGTAAAGGCTATTACAAAGCCATACTGGCCTACTAAAGAAGCAGGATCACAACCCACCTTTTCCAGCCTAATCTACAACCCTGGGATTTCTCGATGATCTCCGACCCAAGTATCAGCTACGTCCAAGTCAGTTTAATTTTTTTGAGATCAGCCAAGGTTGGGTAGATGTTTTGGGAATCATGAGAAGAGTGAATTAAATCCATGTTCACATAAGCTGGCTCAAGAAATGATATGTGCTAATTTTTTTTAAATCTGATTTTCTAGACCATCTGAATGAGATTTATAAATCCCATCTTGCACTGAAAAAGGGCTGAATTTATTTATTTATTTATATTTCAAATTTGCCACCGCCCATCTCACTGCAGAGTGACTCTGGGTGAATGAATGTAGCTGGTACACCCTTTCACATCTTTTTTAAAAAATCTTTTTTTCTGATCTGTTCAGTTATGTTTCCTTCTTTCCTTGTTGTTTCCAGGCTTAGAGCTACAACTTCCTCTTGTACATAGATGATCTACGTGAGGCTGCACTGCACACAGAAAAAAGTCTGTTGTTAATATATGTGACCTTTTATGTGGGTACTATTTTGTTTTATTTGACTAGCGAAAGTAGAGCAGAATAATGCTCATTTGGCATTCTTTCCTTCAGCATTTCTTTCCAATTTATTTTTATTAGAATTTTTAAACATAATAAAAGTATAAAAAATTAAAAGAAAAATAAGAAACAGAGAAGATATAAAATAAGAAAGAAAAAAGTGAAAGAAAAAAGAAAAAGAAAATACAGAATTATGACTTCCACCCTTCTTTCGATCAAGTAATTGCCATCTTACTCTTTACCTTCCCTCTTCAATGTTTTAATCCCCAAATCCATAAATCATCAATTCAGTCTTTTCTTCTTTCCTTTAACATTTTTATGAAGGTCCTGGTGAAGGTCTCCAGGCAAGACAAGGGAAAAGAATTTTTCAGCATCAGCTTGAGACTCAAATTCCCCTGACATTATATATCTTCTTGAAAATTTATAGTACATAACAATGAACGGCCCCGGGTGCCTTCATATAAGTATCTCCTTAATATTTCAGTCTTTACTGAACCTGATGATTGAAGATATCATTCAGCGGTAAGTTCAAAGATGTCAGTGATTCTGGGTTAGCATTCTCCCTGATCCTGATGTTGCCATGAATGCTACTAATTTATTAGAAACTAGTTTGAGCTCTCATCATGTTTAAGAAAATTCCAAAGATTGTTGAATTTTGTTTAGAAGATGAAATGTAAACAGAGATTTGATGACAGAATGAAAAGTGTCATTTGTGAAGAGTATTTAGTGAAGATATGCCAAAATCAGGAGAACTGTTTTGGTTTTTCTCAGCCCACTTCAGTCTGCCCTGGCTGGCTGCAGTATTTCTATGTACAAGAGAGGGTTAGAAACATTGAAGTCAAAAGAACACCATCTTTTGTTGGGGAATTCACACATAGGTCTGGTGAAAGTCTACAATCTGACGAGTGGTAAAAAATTATTTAGAGATGAAGAGGAGAGCTCAGCAATTATCCAGCTGAGGGCTGAACAAACATTTACCTGTTTCTTTGTTAGTTTTCTACCCCACCATTCCTTCAAGTGCTTGAAAGAGGAATTCTGGAGGATTTTAGATGGAACCCGAATTATCAATAATAAGCAACATTCATGAGATAGGCGGCTATATAAATATAATGAATGAATGAATGAATGAATGAATGAATGAATGAATGAATGAATGAAATGTAGTAAGTGATTTAGCAGACCATGCTGGATATTCAGCAAAAGCATGCAGGCATTTGGAATCCACAACTGAAATAACAAGGCACTGACATGATAAGTGAAAATGTTCACCACAAGAATGCAAACTGCCCACTGGGAATAAATTAGCAGCTGAACCCAACTGGCTTTGTGCCCAAGGTGGGACTAGAACTAGCCTAGTGCATTAACCACTCCACCAAACTGGCTCTCATACATTTGAATATGCATTAACCTGATCTAATCAATAAAGGTAATGTTATCAGTGGTATAATGGTAATGAACAATTAAACTGAGGCTGTTAAGCTGTAATTATAGTGTAATCAATTAAATGGAAGGGTTGATTTGCATTTGCCAATAAAGAGGGCCATGAATTCCACCTGTCTCCAGGCATTATACTTTGGCCTCCAGTACTGCAATTGTCAATAAATTAATTCATGCGTCAGTGTAAGTGTGCCCTGGTCTCCAGTCTAATGAATACTCCAAAGGGGAGAAATTGTCTCCTACATGTTCAAGGCAGAATAGACGCTGCTCCCACCCCCTCTATTTCCCCACACAACCAGTCCTGTGAGGTTAGCTGGTTTGAGAGAAAGTGACTGGTCCAAGTCACACAGTAGATTTCTGTTCCTGGATCACAACTTGTTCTTCTTGGTACCGGTCCAACCCCTTTCCCACTATATCTCATTGGCTCTCTTTGCAGCCTTTGATGACTTTCTGGCTGAGTTCAGCCAAAAGGCTTAAACTGATTATTGAATTGGTTCAGATAATACATCGAACCCCCAACACCTCAACTGGGCTGAGTTCACCCCAGATTCTAAAATACAGTAAAACTAACCAAGCTGCTGGTCACTTTATAACTTCTTTGCTTTTTGTGATCCTTCCATTATTTCCTCCCTAGTAACTTATATCATCTTACAGAATTATCCAAGCACCACTGTGCTGCTATATCACAAGAATGCAACCTTTATATTGCCACTCCAAAATTAGATGACATTGTAATTCAGTAATGAGGACATTGCCTATACTGTATTTCAATTGTACTCATTTCTCCTATGTGCTCATGAAGTTAATTGCTTTCTCCATGTAGAATGGTTGTTGATCTTTGCAGTTGATCAACTTCTCCTTTGCTGTCTCCCCTTATGGACATCAAAGGATTGTGGAGTACTTTGGGTTCGAACTCCATAAGCTGCTTTAGAGCATTTCACTGCATTAGATTTTGAAGGGGAACCAAAGAATCAGCTTGGATTTACAACTATTAGGAATGAAAATAATGGGTTTGAGCTCTTTAGTGAGCAAGGGTTTCAGGAGAGAAGTGCAGTGGCTTGCCTGGAAAAAACAGCAGGCTCTAACATGAACACTGTTCTGTTTGCTTTTTTCCAAAGCTCAAACTAGACATGAGGCCAAGAAATCACAATGATACAGACATGGAACAGGTAACAGAATTCATTTTAATTGGCTTCCAGTTGTCTAGGTCTTTGGAAATCTTTGTTTTTGCTGTGCTCTTAGTAATTTTTCTATTAACACTTGCTGGGAATTTCACCATCATCCTGCTGGTAGGCTTCAATCAATGCTTCCACACCCCAATGTATTTCTTCCTTTGCAACCTTTCCCTCTTGGAGGTCCTTTTTGTCTTGTCTATCACACCCAAAATGTTGATGAACCTTATATCCAGGAACAAAGCCATCTCTTTCCAAGCCTGTGCTGCCCAGTGCTATTTTTATTTCTTCCTTGGAACCACTGAATTCATCCTCATCGCTGTGATGTCCTTTGACCGCTACGTTGCCATCTGCCATCCACTTCGCTATACCATCATTATGAATGGTTGTCTTTGCATTTGTTTGGTCCTATTCTGTTGGATTGGAGGGCTCCTTTCTACCATTGTCTCCTTCTGTTTGATCTTCCAATTATCATTCTGTGACTCAAATCTCATAGACCACTTTTTCTGTGACTATGGTCCAATGATAACCCTTTCTTGCAACGATGTCCACTTCCTTTTGAGTCTAGCCTCCATCCTATCCTCCGTGGTACTCCTCAGCTCTTTGTCAGTCACTGCTATCTCTTACCTTTACATCATTGTCACCATCTTGTGTATGAATCCTACCAAAGGTCAGAAGAAGGCCTATTCCACCTGTGCGTCACACATTATGGCGGCTTCCATCTTCTATGGGAGTGCCATCTTTATGTACTCATTATCTAACGAGGGACGCTCTCGGGATGTCCAGAAAGCAGTGGCAATTCTAACTGCTGTGGTCACTCCATTACTGAACCCTTTTATTTATACCTTGAGGAATGAGAAGGTCAAGGAGACCATAAAGGATTTTCTAAAGAGAAGAAAAATTCCTTAATGAAGAGACTGGAGGGATCTGAAGAGTCTTTCTATCTCCTGCAAAATTGACACTGTTTGGGGTATGCAAGACAATTTGAATGGCAGGCTGATAATTGATGGGCTCTTGATTGTATTTTTTTTTTTTTTTGACACAACATATCTCCATTTAGGAATTAGAATGGCAAAAACACAAAAACATGTCTGACATACTTAAGTACAAACCATACAAATTAAATAAACTATCCATAACAGTTGGTATTTTTCCAGGATTATTCTGGTTCCCATACATGTCCAACTGTGTTGCTAGTTTTACATAGATTCTCAATCTAGGTTGATGCACTCTCCTTTTACAGTCTTCCCAAGGCAGTCTGAGAAATGTATAGAGAAATTTGTTTTACCTGATAAAGATCCCAAAGTCTCATCTTTAGTTATTAAAAGTTGCCTTCTAGATTCAAGGTCTCAGAATAGGATTATAACCATGAATACTGATTTGAGGTAGATATTTGGCAGTGACCTGGGGATTATTTGATCTTACATTATCTTACTTTTTATTGTGTATTGTTATGGTTAACATGGCCTTTGCACAGATTAAACTGATTCAGCAGTTGCACTGACTCCTGATGACTCATGCCTTAGTTACCTCCTGTTTGGATTGCTGTACTGTGCAGTACATGGGACTGCCTTGAAGAACACTTGGAAGCTGTAGCTGGTCCACCACACAGTGATACAGGCAATTCTTGGCATTCCACATGACGCTTATATAACACCATTGCTCTGTGAGCTGCACTGGTGTGATTCAAGGTTCTGGTTGTCACCTATAAAGCCCTACATGGCATAGGGCCAGACTATTTGCTGGACTTCCTGTCTCCAATTGTTTTTGCTCACCCCACCAGAACTAACAAGATGAGCAAACTCCAAGTCTCTTCTATCAAGCAGTGTCATCTTGCTGGCCCCAGGACTCATACCTTTGTTGTGGTAGCACCTGCCTTGTAGAACAGCATCCTTCCAGAGATCCAGGTGGCCCTGATCCTATTGGCCTTTCATATGGCATTGTAGACTTGATCATTCCCTCAGGGATTTGGGCCAGGAAGCTGAGCAAGTTCTGCTAGTTGATTGTTGCTATGGTTGTTGTTTGCAACTGTAAGTTGAGAATGATATCTTTGAGTTGCACATGTGTTATTCGGATGGTTGGTGTAATTATTATCAGTGTTAATTTTGTACACCATCCAGCATCACTGCTATGAGATGGGCAACCAGATTAATTGTTTAAATAAATAAAGTTTGAAATTCTGTTGCTTCTTTATACTATTCTGGTCCACAATCATAATAAACTTTGTTGTTGAATAAATAGACTATATGTAAACAAAAATTCTGCTCTTTTCTTTCTAAGAATGCTTATAATCTGTAAGTTTGTTCATGGGAATACTATTCTGATTCCAAGTGACATGAACTATCATGAAGCTTTTGAAAGAAATAGATTTTCACCTCTGATATGATGGAATTCATATCTTCACAGGAATGAGACCTAGGGTACTCTTGATTGGCACCTGGTCAGAAAATGTATTGGGAATATCACCCAGTCAGTAGAAGGGATAATGATAGGAACAGAAGAATTACTTTGGGTTATATTCTTGGGTTGGGTTATACATTATATAGTGATGTATGAATCCTTCTATTCCAGACAGGAAATGGGGGAAGAGTTGTGCTAGTCTGTGGCAACATAACAGACATGGAGTCTAGTAGCATTTCCAAGATTAACCAACTTCATTGGAGGAGAATCTTTTGTGAGCAACATCTCATGGTATCAGATAGGTAGAGTGGATTCACTCTTACAGGACTTTAAATACAGAGAATTAAAGGGAGAAAGAGAGGGGAAACAAGGTTGGATGCTAATGGGCCAAGAAGCATTCTTCTAATATATTATAAGTCCATTGTCTTTCTTTGTATGCCCCTCCAAATTCTCCGGAGGGCAAACTAGCCAAACTCTGAGCAAGTGAATAAAGGAACAGAAACTGGACATCAGAGCCCAAAACAGCAACAAGACACAAAATTTCAACTTCCAGGATATTCCATTGTTAACCTCAGGCTAACTGTGGTGGAACAGAAAAACTGTACCCACAGTTCACACATCCTGTAATAACAAAACCAATAAAGTTTTGCTGCTCCCCAAAACTTATACCCCGGTAAAGTTGACTAGTCCTAAAGAAGCTACAAGACTCTGTGTTTATTTTACAAGAGTGGAAATTGAGTAACCTTTTTAGAAATTAGTTGATTCCACATTGCTGTATGAGAATTAGACCTGGGTTTCTAATCTCCTACTCTCAGTTAAGGTTACTGAAGGTCAGAACCAATGAGGAAGATTAATACATTTGCTTCTTTCCTTTATTCCCTGGAAAATTAATTATCAGTAAGAATCTGTAATAGGGAACGTTTGGTCCACAGAGACCTTTCAGTTTACTTTATTTTATTATAGGTGTGAAAGAAATAAAGAAGTAGTTAGGGAGCCTTAGAATGGCTTAATAAGGTTTATATTATACATCATGATGTGTCACCAAATTCCTACAATCCTTTTATATAGTCTTTCCTATGAAATGAATGGCAAGGATCCTGCATAGGTCTGCTAATTTAAATCTCAGTGTGTTGAATCACACTATACAAAAATCAATGAGGGTAATCAACCACAACTAATTAAAGTCTCATTAATTTCAGCGTGTCTATTGTAAATAGAAGTGGAACTTAATCTATCTCAAATTAAGTTACCTTACTTTCACATTATTATCTCTTTTCCTGCAGTTTTATTCCTTACACTTATTTTTGATGGAGTATGCAAAGAATTAAAATAAAAAAACAGTTAGTTACTAGAAATAATTAAATAAATTTACTCTGACAAGAGTAACTGGGAAAGAGTCACCACACTTTCAAACCAGGGAGGTGATCTATATATGTAAATGTCCTCTTATTTCTTGTAATAGAATCAGTCCTCCTAGAAGAGAATGAGGAAAAAAAATATCTATCCACCTTGCTGGTCTGTAGCCAGAAGATCATTGGTCTTGGGCTGGAAAGCTCTGAAGTTGGTTGTTCCACCAAATGAATAAGAAAGATGGCCATAAAAGTAGAGTACTTATGTACCAAAAAATCTTCCTTCCTTCCTTCCTTCCTTCCTTCCTTCCTTCCTTCCTTCCTTCCTTCCTTCCTTCCTTCCTTCCTTCCTTCCTTCCTTCCTTCCTTCCTTCCTCTGGTAAGTGATTGAACCCACATAAGCTTCAATGGGCAATGAAAGAGAAGAAAAAAGAAAATGAGAAAGAGTTAACAGCTCCTGGTGGTATTTATTTGCTTTAATCTTTTTTGGTACTTCATGAGTTCTGAAGTGTGAAGGAGGCTCAGAGATGTGCCAAAAGAATTTTAAAAACCCTACTTTTATGCAAAAATATCCTTTATGTATTTGATTTATAGTCTCAATTCAGGAGATCAAGGTGGCATACATATAGCTCCTCTTCTCTCCCCACAACATCCCTCCGAGGTGGCTGGGCTGAGAGAGAGGGACTGGCCCAAAGTCATCCAGTAACTTTCCTTCCTGGGTGGATTTGAACCTGGGTCTCCCACTCCTAGTCCAGGAACTTCACCACAATACCACATTGGCATCAGAGTGGGCACTAAAGCATAATTCACTGTGTAAAATCTGAACAGTTTTAACAAAACTGTGTCTGTCCTCCTTCATCCCAGATGCTTAAATACCAGAAGTCTATCAAAGCAATGGAAGTGTGTTGAGAATAAGGTGAATCTCTCCAAGCTAGATCTCTTCAACCTGCTTCAGTCCCAGAATTTAGCACCAGCAGGAGAAAAACTTTGAGTTTAGAAGTCCTTTTTTCAAAATACCTGATGCTGTTATTTGATTTAAAGAGTAAACAGATGGCCATCTTCCCTGCCTGGCTGCAAGATGGGAACTTCTCCTGGTGACTTCTGCAGATGCTTAATTACAGTTCTATAGCTTGATATTTTCATTCTATCTAATAATAACTCTGAATGCTGATTCTTCAGTAGGCCAAGTTATGTCATCTATGAGGTTGGTCCTCATGGAAAATGCAAAATTTGCAAATGGACTCAAGAACATGGAAGAAAAAAATAAAAGGGGAAAACTAAAAACAGCTCACTGAGTCTGCCCAGTGGGGGAACACAATGAGGACTTTCTTGAGTGGGGAGATTCTCTTTTTGGGAAGCAATCTCAGAAACCCTCAAGCCATGCTGGATTTGCTCACCACAACTTTGAAGTGTCCCTGGAAACAAACCAGCAACCAGTGTAGCCCACAAAATATTGGTGTGACATAACAATACTGGCTTGTCTCGTCTTGCATGTGAGTCATTATATTTTGCACTTGTTCGTTTCTTGCTAGTCTTCAAGGAGGGTCCCATGTAAAGAGCATTACAGTAGTCCTATGTATATATGTATATGTGTGTGCGTGTTTTCCAATATTCATAGCACACCCTAGTCCAAGCAGGCACTGGGCAAGGTATAAGAAAATCAACACAAACACAAAAGATTAACAATTAACAAAAGATCATGAAAGCTATCAATACAAACATAGATCATCATAGGCTCCATCCAGTTCAATGCCTCTCCTGAAAACAGGGGTGTTCACAGTGGAAGGTCAAACAGTGAAGAAGGCAGTCAAGGCTGGCGTATCAAAACCGCACCCGTTTTTATGTACATCATCATGCAACTAAAATAGGACGGGACTTCAATTGTGCAGATGTGGGTGCCATCTTGACTTCTACCTTCTTCCCACACCCCTCCCTGAAAGCCTGTTCCTATAAAGCATAATTTGAACTAGCAATGATTTCCTGAATCCTTTGAATTTTGTTTTGTTTTTAAAGTCATTCTCAGAAGTTTTTTCCAGGTGGATATGGCTGAGTTTTTCTTAATTCCAGCATTGCTCCAAGCACGTAAGTTATTCCATTGCATCGAGTGCTACCGAAAACATTCTGAATTATCGAATGTCTGCTTATATGGTTTTGCCTTTG